ATGACACAATGGATGGATGTATGGATTGTGATAAGAGTTGTACGAGCCCCCAATGAAATGATTTTTTAAAAATTTTCTTTGGCTAATTTTTTTTTCTTCCTCTTTTAGGTGAAAATTAATCCTTTCTACATTCAACTTTTTATTTTTAATGACCATGCTTTTGTTTTTAATGAATTTCACTCCGCACAATGTCCTCCAGGTTCATCCATGTTATATTTTTTAATGTTGCAATGTTGTCCATTGTGTGCATATACCAACTTTACTTATCTGTTCTTTCACAGAAAGGCATTTAGGTCTCTATTACATTCAATTTTTTTAACCTCTCACCTATGCTTCTAATTCCATCTCTGTACTCGCTTATCACTTACGGTCTCCTTCCTGTATGCCAGAAAAAAAACAAAATCATAGAGTCCCACATCCCTGGAGATGACCTATGAACAATATTAACACCAAGATAATAAACTGCCTTCCAGGCTTTTCACCAAGTATATAAAGGTCTGAATTATCAGACAACTTTTGTTTTTCTCTCTCTCATATATATATTTTTTAAACTTACTGTGAGTTAGGTGGGGGTTTACATTTCAGATAATTTCTGTAGTCGTCAATTCAAACTTATCAAACTATACATAAACATATGCTTGTACTTACTGTGTAACTTTTATGGCAATAGTTTGTATAACTGCTATGTATATGTCTATACACACATAGAGTACCTATGTCTGTCCCCTTAGCTTTGCCTAGCGATCAACCTGAGGTTGGTTTTGCAATTACTAATATCACAGCCATAAACATCTTTGTAAAAATAGCTAGCAGTTTTAAAAAAATAAATCCACCCCCAGTCCACAAAACCAAAGTATATGATGACTTTCTGGTTACCTGTTATATGAAGCTAGATATACTAACAATAATGCATGTATTTTGGTTTACCCAAGTTCAACCAATGCTAAATTACCATATTTTACACTTGCCTGATTGGGTAAGTGTGCTATAAGCACCTTGAGCTTTGTTTTTGCCTAGTTATTACTGAAGTTGGGATTACCCACCAGAGTGGTTATCATCTCCACTATCCAGGTCTCCTCCTTAAACCCTTCTTCCTCTAAGCTCTACTACTCCCTCTGTACCCATGTTTGCTCTGTTACTAACTCAGTACCTGGTAGTCCGAGGGTTACATGTTGGGTTGCTCATCATATAGCCAGCAGTTCAAACCCTCCAGCCACTTTACGGGAGCATGATAAGGCTGTTTGCTCCTGTGTTTCTTTGAAGTCTCAGAAACCCTAAGGAGCAGTTCTACTCTGCCCTATAGGGATGCTCTGAGTCTGAATTGACTCAGTGGCAGTGGGCCTGTCTCCTCAGTAAAAATCTTTCCTGAAATTCTATTCCCTGCCATCTCTCCTTAAAATCTCATGCACTTTCACAATTTCAGCTTGTCTCCAATGCTTGCTTGATTTTGGAGAACGCAGAATGGTAAACAGAAAATAAGTCATTATACAAACATTCTGGAGTTTATCCGGCCCATATCAATAAAGTGGCGATATGCTATTTACCTCCTAAGTACAAATTTTAATGGAAGGAATCGATGGAAAACATGTAACAGTGCCTGAAACAGTGTATTTATTTAAGAAAGGAATTACCGAATCTTTTTTTCCCAATCTGTTTCCATTCTTCTTTTGATCAGTGGATTTGTTACATATAGAGGAGAAGCCCATAGGCCCCATGTCTTTTCAGCCAATGAATGAAGAAACACCAAAACAAAACAAAAACCCACCACTATACATTTAAAGAGATTTGCTTTTTAAGGATAGCACTGCTCCTCTGGCAGTTTGTTAAGACTTCAGTGGCTTGCAATGAATAAGTAAGACTGAATAAGAATTGATGCATTTGAATTAGTGTTGACAACGATTACTGACTATACCATGGATTTCCAGATGGATGAACAAATCTGTCTTGGAAGAACTATGGCCAAATGTTTCTTAGAAGCAAAGATGGTGAGACTGTGTTATCAGGTGAGCCTAGTCCCTTAAGAAGGACACCATGCTTGGTAGAGGATCAGTGAAAAAGACGACGACCTTCAATGAGACGGACTGGCACTGGGCTCCAACACAGCAACGGCAGTGAAGAAGGTGCAGGACTTGGCAGGACTGTGTTCTCTTGTGCACAGGGTCATTCTGAGTCAGAACTGACTTGATCCCGGGGAACTGCAGCTTAAGGGTCAACCTGATTTAAGCATAGGCTTTGGCCTAAATGTTTCCATCCCTTTTATAACTCTGGCAAGTTATTATGTGAATAAATGTCAAAAAAATCACTAATAAGCTTATAATTCATTGTAGATAGCAGTCTTATGGGAAATGTGGGACTCATTTCTGAATTCTTTACTTCTATTAGTCTAGAAAAGTATTTCTCAATGAACTATATTATAGTTAAACACAATTTCCTTTTTTGAAAGCTCTACTATTAAAAAAAAAAAAATCTAAAATACAGTCAACAGACCTACATGTTTTGCTCAGTGCTGCAGGTGATTTACATCCCAGCACAAGGTTATCTTGCTGCAGACCAACCCCAGCTGCAGAGTCACACTGGTGTCGAGTGGAATGGACATGGCAGGTGAGTCACAGGGGCAAGTCCCTCAGTAAAAGGAAATGGGAAGGAAGAACGCGCACACAGCAAACTCTTTAGCTTACATACAAGTCTTACCTCCCGTCTTCTTTCAGCTTTTTATTTTCTCTGTAATGAATCAACCACTTCCATCTTCCATTTCCGTTTAGTCTATCCAGGATTTTGACAAATTCCTTCAGTTGAACTAGAGAAAAATGGAAGTGTGGCAAGAGAAGATGTGTTTTAGGGATTTGAGATGTTCACGCAAAGCCCAGTAATGATTACTTATAAAAATAAGACACCATGTTTGAGTGTGCACCATCACCACCACTTCGGTGGACGGGTAGTATCCCCCTCTCAGAAGTGGAGCGTGCATTTCAAAGACACAGCAACTGCACTCGTCAACTTAGTCCTAGCTACTCTGACTACAGTAGGTAAGAACCATGCAGAAGTACGGGCACTATCATTACTAGCAATTTAAGTTCTGTAAACTCTAGTTTCCATATAGAATTCATGCTTTTCCTTCTTAATGTATATCACCTAATACTGAAGTGGTATCCAAGTTTAGTTTCAATATGGTAATAGAGCTAGGGCAGGTTTGGATTATATGATAAGAGCATCTGCCCTGTGCCTTAACAATCTTTGATACATTGCATACACTACTGAGCAGTATTCTAGCAGATATCACAGTCAGGTTTACATGGCTACGGTAGCAATGAGATAGCAGGGATGATGGCAGAAGAAATGCAGGAGAGGGCTGGCTCTAAACAAAAATGTTAATCTGTAGCTGACTTGAATTGGCAAGTGGAAGAGTCAACCTTAACAATAAAATCTCACATCTGTATGCACTAAGACTTCAGGCCCAGTAAGGAGGGGTATTTAGAAAGCAGGGGAGGTAATTAGTTAAAACAAGTTATTGGACAGTGGCCTTGGGGGATGAGAATTACATCGAACTATGGAGCAAATTCTTCGCACAGCATGTAGCATATAAGCCATCAGTAGGTGGCAGTTCTTATTGAGTTTCTTTTTGAGGAAATATCCTGAGTGACTACATTTAAAAGAAAAACAGAAGAGCAAAATAATAAACCAACCTAATGTTAAAGTTTCCAACAATGTGTCATCGGATACCACAAAGCCTCCAGCACGAAAGAGCTCTTGGTAGGTGTGGTCAAAAATATCTTCAGGACTGTCTACTCCAGCAAAGATGACGCCGGGAAAATGCTTCAGCTTCAGCAAGCACGGGATCTGCTCAAAAGAAAACAGCCCACTCCAGTGAAGACAGGCTCCTGTGCCTGGGTCATGTTTCAGAACACCTTCCCTTTGTTACTTCCTAGCTCAGGTCTCAGGAAGAATAACTTTATTTTCATTTATTTTTACTATCATTTTATTCGGGGCTCTGACAGCTCATATCACAATCCATACATACATCCATTGTGTCACTGCATTTGTACATATGTTGCCATCATTTCCAAAATACTTCCTTTCTACTTGAGCCCTTGGTATCAGCTCATTTCCCCCTCCCCCACTCTCCCTCCCTCATGAACCCTTAATAATTTATCATTTTTTTTCTTCACGTCTTATACCAACCGCTATCTTCCTTCACCCACTGTTCTGTTGTCTGTCCCCCTGGGAAAGGGTTATATGTAGATCATTGTGATTCGTTCCCAATGTGTTCCCCCTCTCTACCCCAACCTTCCCCTTGCCCTCCTGGTATTGCTACTCTCATTATTGGTCCTGAGGGTTTTATCAGTCCTGAAAATCCCTTATCTGTACCTGTGCACATGCTCTGGTCTAGCCAGATTTGTAAGGTAGAATTGGGGTCATGATAGTGGGGGAGTGGGGGGAAGCATTAAAGAACTAGAGGAAAGTTGTATGTTTCCTCAGTGCTATACTGCACCCTGACTGGCTTGTCTCTTCCTTGTGACCATTCTCTAAGGGGCTATCCAATTGTCTACAGATGGGCTTTGGGTCTCCACTCCACACTCCCCCTTATTCACATTGATATGGTTTTTTGTTCAGGGTCATTGATGCCTGATACCTGATCCCATTGATACCTCATGGTCACATAGGCTGGTATGCTTCTTCCATGTGGGTTTTATTGCTTCTCAGCTAGATGGCC